GGGGAGGTGGCGAAATGAGTACTTCGTGTGACAAGCTAGGATGGGGTACGAGATGAATATTCAAATTATTTTCAATGTTATATTTACTTTCATCCACTCGGTACTCTTTCTCTCATGAAGCTTAGATCAGAAAACTGTTACTCTCGGCTAAGAACTGTTCCTGAACACAATTATAGGTTAATCTCCTTATCTGCGCTCTAGTGCTCAATGTTGAAAAAAAAAACGGAGGTGTCCCAACTACATTATCACCTACGATTTTTGTATAGGCATACATAGCACGGTGCCAGTACAGATCGAAATCAAAGTTTTGAAGTACCCACGGAGTTTTTGAAGTACTGGTACGAAGTTTGAAATATCAAAGTTTTGAAGCACTTCACATCAATCACTCTACTCCATTAACCTACCCACCAATTTACTGCTTTATATATAAGGAAATGTGAGAGCTGGGCTTTCCACACCACTAACTTTATCGTGATCATAATGTTTGAGGACGGACAGACCGACAAACCGACACACCAAGTTTCTGCTCTATAAATAAGATATATATATATATGTATATATACATATATATACATATATATACATATATGTATATATATGTATATATATNTGTATATATATATATATAAGCAAGCGACAAATTTTGCCATCAATCCGTATTTGGTCTTACAAAGAGCCCTAGGTCTCCTAGGTCTCCTAGATAGAAATGGGAAAACCAGGGTGCCTTTTGGGGGAATGATTATCTGTATTTGGTAATGTCAACGCTTGATAGAAATGTTAGATCCAGGTTGCCTTTGAGGGAAGCAAAAGACTGACAAAAGACTCAATAACCACTGTAACAGTTTTCGTACTATATACCTCCATATTTGAGAATGAAAACAGAACTATAAACAGTCACCTTGACATCATCGTACAGAGATGACTCTAGAGAGCAGCCGTTCTCGTCAATGATTGCATATGGTTTGAGGTTGGGCTCCCCGGAACTGATTGTACCTACACAAAAAACTGATCTATGTTAAAAGTGAAAGTTGGCATTCAAATAAACAACAATGAGTAAACATACAGTTAGCCACAGAAAGGCAGTAGTTATCATGCGCTTCGCATCTGATACTGTAGAATAGCTCGACGTCAAGAGTTACTCCTAGACAAAGGAGATTACAAAAGATCAGAAGCTTGCTTACAGTAACAAGGTATCAAAGTGATAAAGGCATCATTTCTCGGATTTGCTGCCGATATTTGCATTACATTTCAAAGAGATGTATCAAACAACGCCGGAACCTCAATTTCGTAGTAAGTACCGACAACGACAACCTGTCACAAGCTCGCCATTGGGACCATCTCTGTGTACGGAAAACTCGCATTTTGCTGGCGGCCGCGTGGAATGCTTGACGTTGGCTTCCAGTATTGATGGGCGAGATGAGAAAACTGGCTCGTACATCGCTCCGGCAAGAATAAACGCAAGAATCATCGTGACTCTGACAATACAGTCAGACAGTGACGTAAGGCTGAAGAAATTCGAACTACTCCTATGCGGTCATGAAATTGAGGTGTTTATGAGATGGTAAACAAATAGACAACTTATTGGTGATACGTATGAGTTCAGTGCACAGAAAACAGTAGTGAGGATTGGAATGAAAACGGAGTGGTCACACTGAACACAAGCCTTTTGTCTACTCATCAATTTAGGAGAAACAATTCCAAAATTTTGATACTTAAGTTTTTGACACTGATTCTCATTATCCCTCAATAAAATTGATTGTGAGTTCAATGCACATTCTTTTCATATTTACACTGATGATTTTCCGTCGTTTGCATCCTTCCATCTCCTCTGTACACTGCCGCACACCTATCTTGTGTCAATTAACGACCCTCAGGGGTTGTTAATTGGCAGAAGACAAGTATGTGGCAGTGGACAGAGGAGGGAATGGAAGGCTTGGTTGGCCTAGGTGGATGTCCATCTCGGATTCGAACCCGTCACCATGCGAGCGAGAGAGCGCGCCGCTTCCCACTACACTACCTCTGCCCATTAGAGATTGAAAAACCGCAAATGCATGCTCTCATCGTCAGGGAAGTGAAAAACAGAGTTGATTGTAACAATTATACTGCATAGTTCTCGATCTTTCATTATTCCTTGATAAATTTCTTGCGACAAACGTGGTTCGCGATATTGATACAACCAAAACTCAAGAAAAGATCGAGAGCAAAGTACTGATTATTATACATATATGTCAGCAGGCAGGCTATGCCGAGGGGGACTAGACGTTTCATAACGGAGGGGCGTAGTGGAAGGGGAATCTGATAGCAAGTCAGGCTCGAAAATTTTCCATCCCTACATTGATTTAATTTCCATGGAAAATGAGAGAGACGATAAAGTGCAGGAAAAAGTACTTAAATAGGCTTCGACTTTCTGTGAAACACCTTAGAAATATATGTTAGCATTACACGATTGTACTTCAGAGTTTATATAGTTAATGCTGCAAAATTTTAAATATCGTTCAATTTGTAATACCGTAATGCAATTAGCAATCCATGCTCAAACATTTCGAGTGGAAACAACTATTTAAGAAAGAACCACACACATGAATGTAATGTGAGATGCGAGTTAGAAATAGGTACTCATGGTTAGAGTTCTTCGCTTTCAAATGTTAATGAATATGAAAGTTGATTCTAACACCAGTTCTAATACTTGGATTCGAAGTGAAAGTATAATAGAACTATCAGAAAGGCGAGGGAGGTGTGTCCTATCTATTAAGTACAAAATATTGTCGTCAGTCCGGCGACTTTGTTGGCGTGGTAATGGTAAAAGGCAATATTTGATTTCAATGACTTGAAACTCTCTCAAACCTACTCCTTCTTAAGGAACAAGGTTTAAGAATATAAAATTAGAATGTTGAAAGGCTGTAGATGATAGTGCGCCTAATGGGGTGGGATATGATTGTGATTCGGCGCTGACGCGCGCAACTGGTCTGTAAAATGAGGCCGCAAACCAGCGTGCATCTGCTCTCGTTTCATACCGTGTTGAAGGCAGATCTCACGCCCTCTCAACTTCGACAGTCTTGATCTTCGACCGTCTACGTATTCAACCTTCACAGAATGGCGTACTTTCACTTAAATGCTCCAGTTAAAGGCACAGCTCACAAAAAAAATGGATTCTGGAATTTCTCTAAGTTCGGGACCCCTACTGATACCATACAGTGCGTCGCCAAATGATGCAGCCGCCTCTGATTTTCCCAAAAACTCACAGAAAAACTGCCAAAGTAAAAAATGTGTCAAATTTGAATTGCAATTCGTACATTATCACCAAATTCTAGCTCGAAACCACAAACATTTTTTTGGTCAATTTTCCAATAAAGGGTGCTTTTCCAACGTCGCCAAATGATACAGCCACTAACAAAATTAATTTATCTAACAACAAACATGCAACAAGAGAGAAAGATGCAAACCCAATGATCAGTTGGTCCATCGTTCCTTCGAATTACTTCGGAAATGCGGTGGTCTAGGCCCAAATAAAAATTAGCAATCAGCTCCTGGTCAACTTGGTGCCATGCTTCGATGGTCGCTTTATTCAACTCCTTGACGCCTCGCAGTTGCTTGGGTTGGGCGTAAATCTTCCGCACCATGAAGCCTCATACCTTTTCCATCGAATTCAAATCGGGGCTGTTCGTCGGTCAGGGCAGAAGTGCCGTGAGAACCAAGCATGGGTGCTCCTCCTGACGTGAATTTGGGTGTTATCTTGCATAAAAACAAGATTTCGAAGCTGATTCTGACGCCAGAAAGGGAGAAGTGCACGGCGCATAACAATTCAATGGAAGGACGAGCTCATCTTCTTTGGTACAAAACATAAAATGATGCGCCTACTCGATGAATCGCGGCCCAAAGCGGACTCCTCCCTTGAATTTCTGTCTAGAAAATTGAAGTTTCTCCTTTCTCAGGTCGTGCCATTAAAATCGCTTCCCGTCTGGACCATCACAATCGAACTTTTTTCCATCGGAAAAAACGAGCTGAAGAAGGGAAACCATCAAGAGAAGGAAAGTCAAATGTCAGCACATGAAGAACACCACATTCCACTCGGTTCAGCTGCACCCTCTGGAGGAAGCGGCTCGATTTTCCCGATGTCTTCTTGTCGTGAAAAGCGCCTTACGCATTTTCTGCTCGAAAATGAACTTGGACTTTCTGATCACCTTCTAAACAGTGCATTCTCAAAAAAGAAACGACCGGATTTCCATACAGGACTTGGTGGAGTTCGACGCTTCCCTCAAAGTATGGCGTTTGTCTCTGTTGGACAGCAGCGAAGGACGTCCAGCACTTCTTCTGGTTCATCATAGGCTTCAGGACCTTCGATAAAAAAAGTCCGAAACTGCGTGACATCGACCCAAATCCCGCGCGATTCTGCGATTTGACAGTCCCTGCTCATTTTTTGCGAGGATTTGACCTTATTCGAATTCCGAAAGCAAATTTCTATTCCCATTGCCTGAAAATGAAGAACATTACATAATCGAAGCAATTTCATTGCGTTAAACTAGAACAGGACACGAAGACATGAAGTGGCTGTATCATTTGGCGACGTTGGAAAGGCACCCTTACTGAAAAATTGACCAAAAAATGTTTGTGTTCTTGAGCTGGATTTTAGTGATAATGTGTGAATTGCAATTCAGATTTGACACATTTTTTACTCTGACACTTGTTCAGAATCATCAAATACTGTGAGTTTCTGGGGAAATCAGGGGGAGGGGGCGTATCATTTGGCTACGCACTGTATGTGCCGATGTCAGGTCGAGAAAAGTCCTAGATAGAGCATAATAAGGGTCCAGACATTGTATCGTGTGAATGCCACACCAACAGCAGACGAGTTTCAACGGTATTGTAGAGGCTGCACAGTTCACGGAGGAACCCATATAGGGAATTCAAACAATTTGTCTTGTTCCATGGCGACAGCGGAAGACAGTTATGATTAATATTGGCTCGATATAGTCAGCTTTTGAATAATTCCAACAGTCGAAATCTCGTCCGAATACCCATCCCATGCCATTTCCTTCGTAGTATCTCGTACAACTTCTTTTTTCACAATACCTCTGGAGAGCCTTTTTTCTCACGGAGTCGGCGAATCTTCTCGCTTTTTTGACCACCGATCAATAACATTTGCTCTTCGACTTGAAAAGACTCAAATTAACGTGAAGTGGGCTTTAAAAAACTTTCAAATTTTTTCGACTTTATCTCCACGAAAATCCAAAATTGAGGATCTTCACGTGCCTGCATCTGTAACAGCATTGTTAATCCTCCATTTTGATTGGAGAGTTCCCTTTCAATGCCTGAAAGACGTGAATGACACCATAGGTGAGAGGGCATGAAATCGTGAACAGATTGCACAGTTTCGAAAAAATTCCATTTGTTCATGCCAATCCGTTCCAAAATTTTGTAATTCTTTCCAACTTCAAATCTTATGAGAGACAAGTATTTTTAAGATATGGGTCAACCCGTGGCGGAGACCTCCATTCAAAACCATTTTCTGCCATTTGTCCCCTACGACATTCATCTGTTCAAAAAATAACGCGTCATAACCAACAAAACAAGGTACTGAACTCAGCTATTCAATCTCTATAAGCAGATACCTTAAGTACTGAAAGTGCTCAGTTTCAGTTGGCGCTGTTCTGCAATACGTGATGGCATCGACAGAGCCTTTAAGCCCGTATCGAACAAACAGAGGGCTAGCCGGCTGCGCTTTACAAAGTTTCGTTTTGAAATTCCGGTGGGAACGTAGCCTAGAGACGCCATGTTCAAATTTTGCTATGGCTAATGCTCGCTGAACATAGTACCGGTTGAATTGGGTATTTTTCTCCGTAGAGCAATCGAATAGGGCAGAACAAAAGCTCGTCAATGACGAGTTCATTTCCCATTGACACAACACTTCAAAACCAAGTGGAATAAAAATGTAATTCAATCAAGCCCGAATTATGAGATTTCTCCAGATTTCTCTTTTTTCAAATTTTATTACAATTGTAAGTTGAAAGTTTATTTATATTGCTGCTGATTGGGATTATATTGTGTATAAAATAAAAAACTGATCATTAAATCGTTAAAAAACTTGTTAACTTTATCGCTCATCAACTTTGAAGTTGAGAATGAGATCAACAAAATTCAGTCCTTAATACGCTACTGCACTTTGTGGCATTGTGGTTGGCAAAAGGCGTCGTGTCCTTCCAGCTCGATGCCGTTTTCTGCTATTCAAAGTATTTTTGACGGCTGCCATACTTTCTTTCTGGAACCAAGAGGTACGTTAATGTAAGTATAGATGACCTGAAAAAATTTATTATTTGCATAGAAGCTAACTATTTACAAAGAAAGACAACAACCACCTGTCCGATAAATTTGAATCTCGGTGCAATTGATTCCCTTGCCTCCACGTTTAAATCGAGCGTGCTGGGTCGTCCTTGTAAAGGTGCCACTCCAGTGCAAGCGTGAATTTGGATGAATTTCCCT